CATTGTGTACTTTGACTCTTACTTACTCAAATATTTAATTTCCTCAGATTTGACCAAAGGATATTACACATTTTTTTATGTTGACTGAGACAATAATCTCCCCTTCAATACTGCACAACTCCAAGTTTAATGTATTTCCTACCCCAGGAATAAATACAAACATTTATATATTAATTATATCAATCGTTTCCTCATTAACTATAAATACACTTTCCTGGACATCAATGTTGGGGTTCTTGAATTCTCATTGACCTAAATATTCTCCTTTTCAATAATTAGAAGGCCATAATTCTAATGTGCCTTTAATTGAGCCCTCCTGTTAAGTTAAGGAGCTCTAATCAGTGATGTCAGTGCTGTAATTGCAGCACACATAAAAGAGAAATACAGAGAGGCGTTTTAATTACAGGGAAAGACAGAGGGCATTTTTTGTTTTATATTTCTAACTGACAAATTGTGTTTGATTATTCCATAAATGTTATGTACACGGCCGGTCAAAAGTTTTCGAACACCTCAGTTTTACTGATATGTATTGATTGGGATGTTTCTGAGATTCAGACACAGAGCAAAGAAACACAATTATACTTTACACAGATTTTTTACTTTTAGCTTCTGCCCAGTTCAAACTGGCTGCAGGAGGTTAAGGTTTTGATATTGCGCTGTTCTTCCATCATTTGAAGCCACAGTCAGGTTCTTTTCTTCTAATGCTCTGTGTCATTATTTTGCTTTATGATGAACCACTGACCTGCCAGCCTGTCTTCTGTTGTTACTCGTCTCATTCTCAGCGATCTGACAGAAATATACAGTATCCTGCAGTAACTGTATTGTGCTCTGATTGCATCAGAGCGTGTGCGAATAGACAGAGGGTTTGGAAGTCAGCACCTTTAGGAACCGTTTGGATCAACTTTCAAAGCTTCATTCATTTACTGCTGCAGGAAGGGACAGAGACAAATTTACATTCTTGTCTTTTTTTTATTGCAAAAATTTAAATTTGAATTATTTAAAAATTTGAAATTACTGAACCATTCATTTTTTTGGGAAAAAGGGAAAATCTTGAGTGCTGTAAAAATTGCAGTCAGTAGATTTTTGATTTGACAGTGATTTGATTGAAAGAGTGCAACTCTTTTCAGAAGAAATCAGCAAATGGACAGATAGACAGATAGATATAGATAACTCCCTATGGCCACTTCAAAGAAACATTCATGACAGCACGAGCATGAAATGAAGCCACTCTATTTTGGCCATGTGCTTTGGCACATAGCCGCTGCGTCTCCGCAGGGCTGGATGGATATCAGACAGTCGATCCATGGGAGGCGTTACCTGCTGAGAACAGACCAGGTGCAAACTCCACAGTAAGACCACAAGCTGTAGAGGTTTATTTAGCACTGCTTAGTAATCCACCCTCTTCCCTTACATCCCTCTGGACATGCCTGAAAAGTGTGAATAACTAAGATCTGATTGCGCTGGCTTTATTAGTTTGCCTGTATTTGGCGCAGTTTACCAGCAGCTTCATAAGATTTAATTGAGGACCATCAATTCTTAAATGGCACTTGTTATTGGTGGAGGGAGAATTATACACAAACCACTTTGCATGCCCCCCCATTATAGTGAATCTAACTCATGCCAGTGTTTCTGTGTTTTCTTCATATTGTGTATTGCAAAAACAAATGTCAGTTTAATCACAGACAATGGACTGAGATGTTTTATCTGTGTACTCAGGAACTCACACACACACACAGAGATTGCGAGCCTCCTCTCCACACATGCACATTTTCCATTAACTGTCATCTTTCCAAGATGCCAGCAAACAAACCCTTGTTTACTGACATGAAATGACACAAATGCAATTTTTTCCCCTTCAAAACAGACTTTGTGGACATCCTGTTATATTCATAAGCACAGAACAACCTGAATATTGCACCGGCCAAAATGCATTTACAGAGAGAGTCGGAGAGGCAGTTATTATGTTCCTCTTAGTGCAAAGATGCAGAAAGACATACGGTGGATGTGAAGAGGGAAGAGGAAAGCTGCTAGAGCCCTTTTGGGAATGTTAAACAATGCAGTAAATCAGGCATTGAGAACAGCAGGGCAGGTCAAAATATTTGTTTGCTTGACTCAGTGCCAGTTTCAGAAGGATGTCAACATCCACCCACTGACATTGAAGGGTTACAATGCTATTTGTTTCCCTCTTGACTGTGTGCGACTGGTAAAGCATTGTGTGGCTCCACCATCTGTTTTGCCTCTAATGGAGTAAGATATTACAAATGCTCAACAAAGCCAGGGTATGTAAAAACGCTGATTTATAGTAATGGTGTCCTTCATGTGCCACACAACTAAACCTGTACATCACTTAAATAGATTGACTTGCTTTTCATGTCAGTCACTAAAATCTGCACCGCATGCAAAGCAGCTATCATGAGCAGGATTCTCATGGCAGCCCCCCCCCCCTCTTTTTTTTCCCGTTGATTACATAATTGATATAAGATAAGGTGGCAGGCCCATTAGGAAAAGATATAGCAAATGTCACGAATGCTATGCACAGTGCTGATCCTACTGCTTGCCCTGGAGCAGGCACAGGCACTTGCTCAGTAGGTGACCAGGTATCACATAAAGTAGTCAACACACATACTATTCATCTGTGTGCACGCTATATTGAATTAAATTAAATCTGTGCTCTTAATATTTTTCTAATGTCTGATTCAAACTGTATACATGATGTTAACTTATTTCAAAAAATAATTTAGGTATCATATACATATAAGTTCCATGGAGGGGAAAAAGTGATGCAAACGCAATTAAAATGTAGTTTAGCTCTTAAGTAATTAGTCAGAATCACAGCTAGAATGGCTCAGTAGATCACAAACCTCCGCCAAGGCCCCACAGTCCCCTTACGAAACCACATATAATTCACTAGATCCACATTTTCATTGGGATCTGCACCAAACTGCACATACTCATATCATCACAATATCAATCCCCTAAACGTGCCTGATTTTTTCCTTCAAGATGGATGAATTATTCTCTGAGAAATCAAAGGAAATGTTGAAAACAGCCCCATTACGCAATGTTTGGTCTGGATCTACCCCAAATTTTCATGCATGGGTCCTTCCCTGACTCATACGGCATCCTTCCACCAAGTTTCGGTGTAATACTGCTAAATAACAAATGAATTAACAAACAAACAAAACGTGCTAATAAAAACATAATCTCTTTGGTGGAGGTGACTAAAATAAATGTGTCATATCAGGTCTGCTACACTAAAGGGTTTATGTCATGAACCATTTCAATATGTGAGTCTTCAGTGTTTTGTTGGAGCCAAATAATCTCTGCAGGTGCCACAATTTAAATTTATAAAACCATTTCATATATCAGAGAAAACTAACTGGGAAAACCAAATTCCTGGTAGTGATATGCGAGAACATTTATTTTACTAACTTTTAATTGTTTTTTTCCATTTGTGTGGGTGATAAAGTAAATTAAAATCCAGAAATATTCAGCAAATAAGCAAATCATCGACTCTCAGTAATTTCATATCAACCCCCTGCTGATAAATTACCAATTTGTTTTCTGAATCTTAATTACAGCGCCCCCATCAGGTCAAATGCTGTGTGTGTTGTTTTAATAATAGATTGCATTTCAATTTTTATTGTCAAAAAAAAAAAAAAATCAATGAAATATATCTAATCGTTTTTATGTTCGCTTTCACAGTTGCCCACATTTATCCCAGCATCCCTCCTGTTCTCCTCCTCTCTCTCAGATGCAGAGCTGCTCCTACACGGGGCTCACTTCTCCAACATCCGCCTCTGATCCCACCACATCCACGAAGATCCGCGTCCGAGTTCACGCAGTACAGCGCACATCCTGCTCCGGAGTGCGTGGAGCCACGAGCGTGCATGTCTGTGAGTGATGCACAGTGAGTGTACACTCACAGACACACATATATATATATATGTTGCTCTGCTCCATGCATGTAAACCGCTTCCAACCCCGGAGGCACTGGCACCACCGCGCCTCTCGGGCTATGAATCCACGCTCCTCGTTTTCGTCAGAGGGCCGAATGCGTGGAGATCAATGAGTCTAGATGGTGGTGCAATGAAGCGTTAGTAGAAGCACGAAGCCACAGGAAGTCAGTGAATTCTGCACCATGAACAGAGTCAGTGACTGAACACTAGATAGTGAGTTTCCTTCTTTCTCTATTTACTTAATTATCTATTTATTTCTTTATTTATTGGAAAGGGAGTGAGTAGGTGTGACTGTTCCCTCCTGACTCACCCTAACTACAGCTTGATTTCCCTTCGGTATAAAAGTCAATGCACCAATACTATTTTATTATTGATCAAAAGGCTGTTGATCAGTCATCAATGATTAATCAACATGATTAATAGCCTATTAATTGGTATGTATTTATTTGCAATAAACAGCAAGCGTATCCTAACTAAAGAAAACAATCTGCCTCGTTATCCTTTTAGTATTATTATTACAAATGGGGAGTTTGGATCGGTGAGAAACTGAAGCTGCATGAAAGTTAAATGTTTTCATCACTGTTGTGTTTTATGCTGCACACATGCACAGGAGGTGTCCAGTCCAGATTCCAGAGCAGATGGGTTAAGTGCCTTGCTCAGGGACAAGTGGCTGAGTTGGTTGACGGACCCGTGCGTAAAACACTGACAACCACACCCACATTTTCCGCTTCTTCCTCCGCGGATTCAAACCACCGACTTCCTCCCAATCAGAGTCCCGGCTTCTCTGGCAATGACACTGATTGTAAGGAAACCGGGGATACACCCGTGTGAGCCCCCGAGTAACTTGTAGTCCTGATTCCCCTTTAAATTTCCCAGGCTGACTACTACCTCTGCCACTACCACCAGCAGCAGCGGCGCTGCTTCTGGATGTTGTGGTCGGGAATACGCATGCGCCCGGCATTGGAATTACTGCACTGGAAAGAATAAGTTGGACACCGTCTGTCTTCACTAAAAGAAAAAACAACAACACACAAGTAAAGTATGGCGGTGTTCAGAATAAGAAGAATGCGGTGTCTTCGCGTGTGGTGGATCCCCCTCTTCGTGGTCGTGGTGTGCACGCAAAGGTAAGTGAAAGGGTCGGAGGATGCTCCACTCGTTTTTTACTAAGTGTGACAGTGTTGGAGACGGCGTGGAGAACACTTGGACACTTTGTGGTCAGAGAATAATGTGTGATCTGATCCCTGTTCTCTCTGTTTTCTCTCCCATAGTGCCACTGTTAATGACTCGAGCAATATGTCTTTGGTTAAAGAAACGGTGGATAGACTGTTGAAAGGTTATGACATACGATTGAGGCCAGATTTCGGAGGTAAAAGAACTCATATTATCACCAACTCGGTTCGAGTGTGCGTCTTGTCAGCCTGTATAATAGCACGGGGAGGTTAAATCGCCACGGCGATCACGGAAAACTCAATGACTGTTTCGGGAAGTGAAGAGGAGACAGTTCTCTCGGCTCGTGCAGGTGCCACAGCCTGACATCCTGTGTGATGCAGCCGAGGCAGAAATATGTGAAATCAACCCAAAATACGCGCATCATGGACGAGGGGGACACATGAGGGATGTGATGCTCGCTTGATTAAAAACACTGCAGCTCGTTTATCTGAATGACAAATCACGACAGTATAAAACAGGGGGGGGGGGGTTACACGTCTGCTGGAATTTAAGACAAATAGCTGTTTTTACAGACGCTCCATCACAGACTGCGACGCACACATGATTTCATGTCAACAACTTTTCAGGCGCATCAGAAAATCCACCCTGTAAACTATTACACGGGCTGACAACAGCTACACGCACAAGTGCTGTGATGTGATATTTTCTATATTAATACTTTCTCATAAAGGCTGCATCTGCTGTGCTGTGTCTCTGCTGCTCACGGTTGTTCTCTATCTGCCATAGGTGCTCCGGTTGGAGTGGGGATGAACATAGACATAGCCAGTATAGACATGGTGTCAGAAGTAAATATGGTAAGTTGGCCCATTATCACCTTCTATACACCTTTGACAATGGCTCCCCGCTGTCTGTGTTAATGACCCCTGCTGTGCACAAACCCACCAGGGGGAAACACCCTCTCAAAGCAGCCGGGGAAACCCCTCTGAACGCCGGTGTGTGTCAATGTGTCTTCCCCTCCCTCCAATCCCTCGCATCGACTCGTGTGTTCGAGAGCTCAAAGGCGACGGTCCTGTTATTGCTTGAGGGTTGATGAACAGGAAACCCTCTCCTGGGGGTTTGGGGATCGATTGACATGGATTGGCAAAGGAAGATGTTTTTGGTTTCAGAAGCTGATTCCTGCTTAATTTCCTCAGCAGATTCACACAGCATCCCTGAAATCATCCACTTAGGGGAGTTCAAGATAAATCTGCTCATCTTCTAAATGCCTGGTGCAGAGGACCTTATCAAAGACCATTAGACCAAGTGTCAACCTACATAGGCACATTTCACCATGACATGCAGTACACATGTGTTGCTTCAGGAGACATGTTTTACACTGTGCTGTCAAAGCTGCTCTGTAAATGCTTTAGTGACAGTGGAAGAACTCCAGGGCTGTGGATGTGAGGAGTGGAGATCAAGTTTTGCTTCATACAAGTGCACCTCCTAGTGATGAGATGCTAGAATTGCAGCCAAGTTTGCAGAGAAATGCTGCATTTTATCATGATGGAAGGTCACATCTGACACTTACTTTAGATTTGACAAGTTGAGCAAAGATTGAAATGAATGGTAATATTCAAGGGATTTTAATAGGTCAACTGTCCTGTGTGTTTTATTGTTTATTGATATTTTTGTACAAGGGATTGATCTGTGCTGTTGGAGTTGTCACATTTCCATCTGCAGCTCCTTCATGCTTTGCACGGATGTGTCCTGCTGTTGCAGTTTGTTTTGCTGTTCCTATGATGTGAGTCATGTTGTGATATCAGGGAGTGATTACATGCTGGAGTATTTTTGGCAGCAGCACCCAAAGGCACGTTGCTCATGTTGTTATCTTTGTGCTCCTGTGGAATCTGTTGAGGAGTGGAGATGAGGAAAAAACAGATGATGCCATGTCTATTTCATGTATTTACACAGAAGATCTGCAAAACCATAGGCGCACACAAGCGCTTGTGTAAACAACACAGGTCCACAGAGCCCACCACTGTGGCTTTGAATCCTTAATTAAGGGCATAACTGTGTAAACAATGCACAAGCTCGAAACCTGCATTGCATTGTATTTGTGCATGTATGTGGGTGCCTGCAAGTGTAGTATGTTTACTGTAAGTGTATACATGGGATATATCTCCAGTAATCAAACACAGGTATTATGTAAGACGTTATTTGTATCAACATCCAAATCACGTAATTCGTTAGAGCTTAGTCATCCACTTGATATGGAGCTTTTCTCACATGGTTCCGTCTCACAGTAGATGTTGATATTTGGGCTATTTGCACTTAATAGATTGTATAGAGCAGAGTGTGAAATCCAAAACAGGATGAGAGATGACTGCACAAGCTAGATCTTTATCCACAGTGTTGTAAACATATGATGTACAGAAGTAGTAACGTGTTCCACAACTGAGTCGTCAGGATACTGCAGAGTTGAGTGTTCATTGTAAACTATTTTCCACCCGAACACACAAAGCCAGTGCTGCACAGCTTCTTTGATCATCCCATCCCTTTTGCCGGCTTTGGCCCTCTAAACACCCTCTAACGCAAAAAGGGAGTCGTTGCCACCTGACCCATTGGAGTCTCATGAAAAAGAAGAGGCCACATGTGTGCCTAATGGTTCCAGCATCTTTGATCTGCTCCCCCTTCCTACACATGTAACCACTTTTCAGGATAGCAGCTGGTGTAGAAGCACTTTCCTTTCTTCCATTTCCTCTCCCCCATCTGGCTCTCTGTCTGCCACTTATTTTGGTGCAAGGATAGAGCCGCCCTGTGTACTTTCTTTGGAGAACAGATAAGGCTGAGGGCTGAGGATAATGGAGAGATGTCACTGAGGAATGTATCCAACTGCCCCCCCCATTAGGGCAGGGCCAGAGAAGCTTTGGTTTGTATTAGAAAACATCTTCTTCCATCACTCATTACTGCTCTCTGTCCAAGGTCTCACATTACAAGTAGACACATGAACTAGTGATAACAGGGTATACATATCATTTTCTGGAGGATCCATTAGAATAAGGAAGAGAAAACAGGTTTGTCTCAAACCATCGGCTTTATCATTGTTACCAAAGTCACAGAGCAGAAACCCATTAAGAAACAACACAGGCCTTTCCCTCACTTCAGATGAGTCACCAAAGTACGTTTGCCAGCCTTCGAGCGTGAGTGGCCCAGAGGACATGAAGTCCTCTCTGGTCTTGGTCCCAGAAGCAGTTCTGATGTCCAAATGCACAGTGTTTGTCAGGCATGTTTGCAAGGTCTTAGCCCGAAGATCTGTTCCTTAGTTAGAAGTTAGTAAATAATGAGTGTTTATCTCTTATGTGTCCCCCCGTGATATCAGCATACTGCTCTGTCCTGAGTCATGTAGCATGTAATGAACACTACATTATATTATGACATTACATACATGTCACAGAGGCCCAGAGCCAGTTACGAAATGAGGAGGCTGGTGTTCATTACATTCCCATGAAAGGTCATTTGTTCCAGGGTGTTGGAGCCAAAGTCCTGAGCCTTCAAGGGTGAAAAGGAATAGAGTAAGATTGTGTAAGACAGAGGGGTCAAATCTCCTATCCCTGTGTATGTGAACCAGAGACAAACACACACACACACACACACACATATATATATATAGAGAGAGAGAGAGAGAGAGAGAGAGCTCTGACTCACAAGTTTCCAAGTGGAGAGCCAGCAGTGGTGCTGGTATTGGAGGGAAGGTCATGTAGCTAGTGCTGCTGAGGGTTCATTCTGCATAACTCAGAGGTGGACATACAGAGAGGGGCACACACACTGAATACCAATGTTATGTTAGACATTCACCCCAAGGCAAGTGGCTCGACGCTCATGCACTGGTCAGATGAAGAATGGGAAATATATTGTGTGCATGTATGGGCATTGGTTGAATTATTTTCTCTTTGAAATTATCTTCTTGTACACTTTCTGTGCTGCTGTTTAAGTCTCAATATTTGCTTTTGCTCGAGCTCCTGAGCACTTGAATCCTAAGCCAACAGTTCCCACAGGGGAAGAAATTCTCCTGTTTATGGATGAACTGAAAATCTTATCCTCACCCAAAAGGCAGAAATACTATTATTGACACATATAAAGGTCAAGAGGAGCTTATTGATCGTTGGAGGACTGTAAAATTCAGCACCCCCATCTTAGTACCCAGTTATTTCCGCCTCTCAGCAGAGGATACACCTGATGGGATGTCTGCTGTAAATGCATCAAGATTGCATTGAAAACTAGGCCTATATTATACATTACACAGATATGAGACATCATAATGGATGTTGGATGGAAGCCAACAAACTATTGCTTGCCATTTGATAATAAAAGGGGAAACCCGAGTCGGGGAAGCACTTATGTTGTATTGCATAATATCTCATCCGGACCTGAGAGCTTTAAAATCTTGTAGCTTCTGTAGTCGTGTCAAAATCTATTCAACAGCTGTCTTCAGTGTTGTGCTGTTGATGTTGGCAGAACTGTAAAGTGATGAAGTTGACTTGGAGATAAGAATACTTTAAGTATGCATTTAAACATTTAATGCCCAGGAATTAATGGTGACGATGAGGAAAGCATTACCTCAACCCTCTCATTTTAATGTTAATGATACTCATCAATACATGGACGACAAAAATCATCTTTGAAGATGATGAAAGCGACTTAATTATATCTCCTTTAAAGATTATAATGACGCCATTAACTGCACACTCACTTTCGCCCTGGCCAGGCGTCACCAAAATTATGGACGTGCATTGATCACTGCCTTCTTTATTAGTCCTGAAATTGTCAACAAACCCCTGCTACACAACGGGGGTGTGGTGACTAATGAGAGCGGAGAGAGGCAGTTCCCCTCGTGGGGGGGGGGTGTAAATAAAGAGAAATGTGTTAAACTCAATTAAAATGTGAGAATTTATGAAGACACTCCAACTTTTGCCGTCGGTCCTGTTGTAAAATGAACTGTCATATTAAAATGATCTCCTCACTATATTTATAACTCATAACAAGCTAATGAGCAAATGGGGATTGACCTCAGTCCGCAGATGTAATCCTGGGTGATAAAGTATTTAGGAGACAAGTACAGTTTAAGATATTAATGTAACATGGGCCCAGGGGCTGTAGCTGGTTGGATTGTGTATTGTGTTTTGGATATTGTGCAGCACGGTGGTTAATCATATGAATAAATATCCTGAGTTGGTTGCTAAGGGTCTTTTCAATACTCAGATCTACTGTATTTAAAGTTACTGAAAGTTCTTACAGTGACAGTGTCCCCTTGTATATTAAGACTGGCAGCATATAGGACAGACGTTGACATACAGTACTTGTACTCTCAGGATGTCTCTAGTGAGGATGTACACTGCTTCTCTGTCTCCTATGTACATACACACACACAAATCCTAATCCCATACCAGTCTTCTGTCATTGTTTCTCATTAACTGCTATGCTAACATAGCCCCCGGGAAAGTAGCTGTCCAAATTACGTAATGGACGGAGCAGAGACAAACCAACCAGGGTTCAGGGAAGATTTGACTTGCTGCTGCTGCAATGGAGAGATCTAGAGAACAGTTTAATATATGAAGAAAATCATCCTGTAACGATTACAGTATTGATTTGTTACCACGGTGCAGGAATAGATCATCAGTCTGTATTAAAAGACGGATGTCCTGTTTTAAGACAATTTAAATTCTAATTGTACTTGTATATATTCTGTTTCTATGCCTATATGCAATATAATTTGAATCAAGGATACCAGTTTCTATATGGTGCAGTACATTAAAAGAAGGTACTTCACTCAATCTAAAGTTCAGGTCAAAGAAAACAGGAGACAACTTAAAAATGT